ATTCTTTTTTTCTATAATTATATTTTATTAATTTTCATAAACATTTACAGAGATTTTGGGTTTCCATTCATTCACCGCTGCACCATTCTCTCTACCCTCCTCCCAGTTTGTTCTTGTCCAAATGCCTCAATGTCAAATTCTATCCTCAAGTACAATGTAGTCAGTGATAGAATGATATCTCTACTCATACAAGGAAGACCTGTTAACATGACTATTACTCAAATATACACTCTTATCTACAGCTAAAGAGGAAGACATTGATAATTTTTTTTATTAAAGAAAGAACTCTGGTTTTTAATAGTTTTGATCATTAGACATTGATAATTTTTACAAAATCTTGCAGTCTGAAATTGACCAAACATACGATGAAGATGCATTAATGAGAGAAATCTTTCCCCGCCAGAAGAGGAATGCAACCACCTCCACCCCAGTGGCATGCAGGACACCCTGTGGGACAGAAGCAGCAGCAACAGTAGAACTAGAGAATCGGCGTGAGATGGGATTTTGAGTGGTAGAAGCTAATAGTGGCAGGACTGAGAACGTGGTTGAACAATTGAAGAAGGAAAGCCAATAATGGCAGGACTGAGAACTTGGGACTCCATGAGGCTGAGGTTCCTGTGTGTACTTTTTGGGAACTGTCTTGACTGTATTCTGTTTTTAATCCAAATTTAAACTTTTGAGTCTCCCCCCCTAAAAAAGATGCATTAATGATTACTGGTTACTGGAAAGCAACAAGTAGGAAACAGTGAAGAAGGAATGTTGTTGTTATGTGCCATCAAATCATTTGCGATGCATAGCGACCCTATGTACAGTAGCCCTAACCCCTACTCTGTCCTGTACTAATCTGTCTCTGACGCATCCACCCCAATTACTCCAGTCACTGAATCAATCCACCTTACAGAGGGCTTTCCCCTCCTGCGCTGTCCCTCCACCCTCCCAAGCATCATGTCCCTCTCCAAGGACTGGTCTCTAAGGATTGGTCTCTCCTTGCAACATGTCCAAAGTATGTCAGATGAAGCCTCAGAATCCATGTCTCCAAGGAGCAGCCTGGTTTAACCCTCTCCACGATGAATCTGTTTTCTTGGCAGTCCATGGTACATTCAATACTATTCTCCAGCACCACAGCTCAAAGGCATTAATTCTCCTTCTACCCTCCCTAGTCATTGTCCAACTCTCTGATGCATAACAACTGATTGCAAAGACCATGACCTGTAGCAGATGCACCTTAGTCTCCAGAGAGACACCATTGCTCTTCAGTACTTTGGAGGGGTCTCTAACAGCAGATTTTCCCATAGCAATACATCTTTTAATTTCCTGGCTACTGGTGCCAAGAGTGTTTGACTGTGGAGCCAAGCAAACTAAAACTGTGAACAATCTCAATCTCTTTACCATCCATCCTGATGGTGAAACTCTTTGTCTTCTTGATATTAAGTCTCAGTCCATATTGAAGGCTGCAGGGGATTGAAATCGTGGGGACACGTGGAGAAGAAGGAATAGTAGTAGGAATATACGGGCTTGGTAATAGAAATGAGGCTAGAAATAGAAGGACTGGATTTTGTATTTACAATAATATATTGCAAATACCTAAAAAAGGTATTTAAAAAAATGACAAACTACTGCTTTATACATGGATCTCACCTGATGATGGGCTGTGTAGGAATCAGATTGACTACATTCATGGAAGAAATCATTGGAGAAGCTCAATATTATCAGTCAAAACTAGGCCAGGGGTAGACTGTGGGTTAGATAATCAATTACTCATATGCAAGTTCAAAAGAGACCAAAAATGATTAAAATAAGTCCATGTTGTTGTTGTTGTTATGTGCCATCGAGTCGTTTCCGACTCATAGCGACCCTACGCACAACAGC